ATCTTACAGTCTAAAAACATGGGACACATGAGTTCACGCTCATGGCAGACGTTGCTAGCGGATCACAATATCTTTACCAACAGAAATTTGATATGGCTTCACATTTCAGGCATTGCCAAATGAGTGGAGGTGGCTGGAGAAATGCAACCAAATGCCATTCCGGTTTTTATGCACTTCTCTATGACTGACTGTTGATATGGTCACTTTTGCAAAAATAAAATGATCAACTGCAGATTTTTTTTTTTAGTTTCATTCTCGTTACCCAGGCTGGAGTGTGTACAATGGTGTGATCTTGGCTCACCTGAACCTCTGCCTCCCGGGTTCAAGTGATTCTCCTGCCTCAGCCTCCTGAGTAGCTGGGATTACAGGCATGTGTTACCATGCCCGGCTAATTTTGTATTTTTAATAGAGACAGGCTTTCTCCATGTTGGTCAGGCTGGTCTCGAACTCTTGACCTCAGGTGATCCGCCCGCCTCGGCCTCCCAAAGTGCCAGGATTACAGGCGTGAGCCACCACGCCTGGCCCAAATTTGTTATTAAGATTCCTTAAATGCCAGCTATGGCTCCAGAGGCAGTGTGGCAATCCGACTGAGGCTTTGGAAATCCTTGAGGGCACAAGGATGAAGCTGGGTTATGCCTCCCTGCCATGGCAATCAGGCATCCTGCTTTCAGCTGGTCACTCCAGCAGTGGTCTCAAAAAACAGGATCCACTGCTGCTGAGAAGAAACAGTGGAACTGTGATTTATGGCAGAGACCCACCACCCTGGATGGATAACAATAAACAGTTCCAACCAACCAGCCCCCACAGTTGGTGATCTGAGGGCATGGAGAAAGAAACATGCATATTTAACTCATTGTTACAGCCAAGCGGGGCACAGGAACACCCAAATATGCCTCAGGGGCCATGATAAAGTTGTCAGAATCTCCACATGAAAATGTTTTCAAGCTTTAGGGTACATGCTGAAATTCAAGAGAGAAAATCCTACACTACTTCCCAAAAAGCCTTCCTAAGTCCCTTTTCTGCACATCCACATGGATCAGATGTGGCTCTTGACACAGACAGAAGTCTATGTCAAGATGTTTCTTCTGGAACAACTGCTTCCTTCAACATACCACAGACTCCCTTAAAACAAGACTCTCGGATAACTTCATTTCATGAGCAGGCCCAAACATAAACATAAAATGCCTGCACAGCCTTGCTGTCCACACACAACGCTGGCTAGGGCCGGTGATCTGCACGAGGAAGGTCTCTCAGCAATTATACTCTACCTTCCCTAGCAAGTCCCCTATTGGCTGAGTGTTACTCACACGTGGGCTCCACTGCTCGGCCTGCCCACTGAAAACCTTACAAGACTAGATCTCATGGTAGCTTAGCTGGTTTTCTTGACGATTGAAAAGTTTTTCTACAACTTTTATGGACTGTCACCCATTCTACTTCATGCAGACACTTAGGATAAATGCCTCTTAAGAGTTCACTGTTGACCAGGTGCAGTGGTACATGCCTGCAGTTCCAGCACTTTGGGAAGCTGAGGCGGGCGGATCACTTGAGGCCAGGAGTTAAAGACCAGCCTGGCCAACATGGTGGAACCCCATCTCTACTAAAAATAGAAAAATAGTGGGGTGTGGTGGTGCACACCTGTAATCCCAGCTACTTGGGAGGCTGAGACATGAGAAATGCTTGAACCCAGGAGGCAGAGGTTGCAGTGAGCCGAGATAGCGCCATTGCACTTCAGCCTGGGTGACAGCAAGACTCCATCCCAAAAAAAAAAAAAAAAAAACTCCATCTCAAAAAAAAAAAAAAAAAAGTTCATTGTTAAAAGAGAAACATATATATGTCACAACAAAAGACTGCTTTGTCCTGATAAGCTTCTATTTCCCACTCAGTAGAAGATACTGAAAATGATGGGACTCAATGTTTCTCTTCTAGGTGTGGCTTCCAGAGAGCTGAGTTGGCATTCATTTGCAGTAACTATCCACAGTGGAGCTTTCCTGATACAAATATCTTCCTTCTTTACTTTTTGGCTATTATCCTTACACCTTTTATTAAAAAGTAGAGCAATTCTACTTTTCTTATGAGTTTGTGTTTTAACAATGATGAAATATGTTAATTTGTGCATGCATAATGAGATGAACTCTGGATTATTTCGCCTCTGCGATTACATGTGGAATAGAGTGATTAATCATAAAATGTCTTCCTCATGATTCCAAAACTAGGAAGTTGAATAGAGCAACAGACTGTATGTTTTCTAAACTGGTATCTCTCCTTGTGATCTAAGGGGATTATTTTCAGTGTCCATATATATATAAACAGCCTGAGGGGGAAAAACCTCAAACAGTGACATTAGAACAAGCACCGCTGGTAACAAATGGACAACTGAAAATAACAATGCTTATCTTTTCAAAACGTTTAAAACTGCAACTTACTAGCCATTTTGTGAGTTTGCAAATGTCATAAATTTACCAAATACATTGCTTCTGACACCTCTTTTCCTTTCTCCATCCTTCTCATTTCCTTGTCATTTTAGCATCTTCAGGAAAAGAAAAACACCCTAATTATATTCCTTCTATATTAGTTCCACCATGATCAAATGTTTTATTTCTAAGAAAAATGTGTCATTAAATGCCAGCTTTGTGTAAGGAAGTATGTCATAAACAAGACATGAAGAGTCCCTGTCTTCATGGTGCTGACATTCCTGTAGAATATTATTCCCCATGTGTCCTTCACTCCTTCCTTGTTCCAAACTGCGAAGTTGCACGTTGCATGCTATCAATTCCATATGCTCCAAGGGACACAATAATTCATGATGGCCAATATGTTCGATTACCTAACGTTAGAGAAATTCTGGAAGACAGAGTCTGCCGAATTTCAGGGGCGCTCCGTAATTACGGCATAAACGGAAGCTAGCTAGCATGTCTATACCAACTCGAGTTTCCATACTCACTTGTAGATTCCAGGCGCTTCACATCTCTTGATGTTTCCAAAAAATATCGCCGAAGAAAAATGAAAACGATTCCAAGGGGAACCAAGGGTATTGCGATCCAAGGAATCACAGCCACAGCCACAGAGACCACACTAACCACTTGTAGCAATGTCTGAAACAGCAGAAATAGATGCAGGTTTTCCTTATCATGTCTTCTTTTCAAAAATGCTTTCATGAGTTGTTGTTAGGATTATACTCCTTTCCCCAAAAGACTTACTGTAGTACCAGGGACTGCTTTTCCATTCAAAGGAATAACAAAAGTATAGGTGGTCCTGATGATATCCATTACACACCTGCCATGTGCCAAACACTATGATATGAACTTATCCCTTAGTTTTTTTTTTTTTTTTCTTTTTTTTGAGATGGAGTCTTGCTCTGTCACCCAGGTTGGAGTGCAGTGGTGCCATCTCCTCTCACTGCAGCCTTCCGCTCCCATGTTCAAGTGATTCTCCTGCCTCAGTTTCCTGAGTAGCTGGGACTACAGGTGCCTGCCACCACGCCCGACTAATTTTTGTATTTTTAGTAGAGATGGGGGTTTCACTATATTGGTCAGGCTGGTCTCGAACTCCTGATCTCAAGTGATTTGCCCACCTCCACCTCCACCTCCACCTCCCAAAGTGCTGGGATTACAAGCGTGAGCCACCACACCAGGCCCCCATTAGTTCTTTTGATACACTCACCAGCCCCATGAGTCAGGCATTATTACTTTCCCTACTTAACGGATGAGAAAACTGAGATTCAGAGTAGAATTTGAATCCCAAACTACCATGAGTCAGTTGACGTTATCGGGGCAATGAGCAAGCAGGCATCACAGACAAGGAACCCAGAAACCTCAGCTATGCACGGGATAAGGAAGTGACTAACTGCAAATTCAGAGCTCAGAAAAAAGGAAGTAATTTAAATCTTCACCTTTGGAAGGGGGGAGTCGTCTCTCTTGGTATCTATCCTTTGCTAATATTTACTGAATGCTGATTGTGTATCTGGCTGTATATTAAATACACATGTATCAACTTGCTGAAATCTCACAATATCGCTATGAAGTAGTATTACTACACCATTTTACAGATGGAGACACAGAGGCAAAAGGAGAAAAAAGTAACTTGATCAAGAACACACAGCAGCAGTCACAGAGCCGGGGAGCATGCATCGTCAGCCACTACATTTTAGCTTGTCCCCAGCATACGGCTAGCTTTTTATTCATCAAGATACAATCCTTGAATTTGTCTTTAATTTTTCCTCCAAACACACTTATATAAGAAATTAGAGTTCATTACCATGCCCAATAAAGAACAGATAAGAGAAATGTAATAAAATTTTTACATGTTTTAAAAGATCTGAGACTTTTTAAATTACAATATATTGAAATTTGTATTGTCAGAAATTTTTGTCTTCTATTTATCTTACGTTTAGTAGCATTGAGGAAGAGGTTTGATAACAATAAAACAACTTAAAATGTCTAACAGTGCTTTTTTTTTTTAGCTTTAACACTTAGATATGCATTAAATTTTCCGCCATTAGGAGAGTATTTCAAATGTCTATTTCAGAGGCACGTGATGATGACAATAGCAAATGACATTTATGAGTTGTTTCTTGATGCAAGGCACTGTGTTAACGGGTCTGTGAATGTTCACTTACCCATCACCTCACCCAGCAAGGTGACGTTATCTTTGGAAATTACCTTGGTCTAAAAGGTGAAATACAAAAACAAAAGCAAGAAGCATAAAAACCCAAGACACTGGATGATGCTCATTTCAGTATTCATCTTTACTAGGAAACGTGATATCATGGCTTCAGGAAATATGAGTGCAACTCAAGTTAGTCCCTACCTACTCTGAAACCACAACGCTTGCTTCTTGAGAAGGATCGAACAGTAAGGGGCATGCAGATTCACATTACACATGCTCTGAGGCCTCCAAAGTTCACTGCCTTACATAAAAGTACATGACTTCAGCAGAAAGTACAGAGTGCTACAGAAATATAAGGAGAGGCCAGGTGTGGTGGCTCACGCCTGTAATCCCAGCACTTTGGGAGGCCAAGGCAGGTGGATCACCTGAGGTCAGGAGTTTGAGACCAGCCTGGTCTCAAAAAAATTAGCCAGGTGTGATGCTGCGCACTCGAGAGGCTGAGGGAGAAGAACCACCTGAACCTGGGAGCCGGAGGTTGCAGTGAGCCAAGATGGCGCCACCACACTCCAGACCGGACGAGAGAGTGAGACTATGTCTCAAAAAACAAAACAAACAAAATCAAAGAAATATAAGGAGGAATACATGTACACTTTGTAGAGGTTTCTAAGGAAGACTTACAATTGATTTTCCCAGGCGGGTTTAACAGACAACCAGAAAGTACAGCATGAATAGTCATTTGCGGGTCGCAATCACGGTTTGCTTGCTGCGGGAACACAGGCAATTCTGGTTGTGTCTTCTCAGCACCATCACCTGCATCTCGACCCACTAGCCCAGCATCTGGCCCACTAGGCCACCCACAATTTTCTGTACCTAGCTGACAGCCAAGGTACAATTGCCCTACCCTCCCAAAAACCAAGAAGAGGCAACATGTCATAAGGCTTGCTTATATCCAAATCGTAGTACATATGTATTTCACATCCATTATCTAACTTCACTTTCATATCAAATCTAAATAGGAGGGATTATCATCTCCATTTACACAAGAGGAAACTGAGTCTCAGAGTGATTCAGTAACTTCCTCAAAGACAGAAAATTCAGTCATACTGACCTTACGCTTGTTCTTCTAAGACACTATAGCCTACATACATGATTCATATTTTTAAAAAAATTTAATACCTAAATATACCTGTATTTTTATATTTTTTATATTTTTATATTTTATATTTTTGTTTTCTGTATCTTCTAGTTTTTTAGGTTATTTTGTGTGGTATGTGTGTGTGTGGTGTGTGTGGTGTGTGTGGGTGGGTGTGTGGGGGTGTGTGGTGTGTGGTGTGTGTGTGTGTGTGTGGTGTGTGTGTGGTGTGTGTGTGTGGGGTGTGTGTGGTGTGTGTGTGTGGGGTGTGTG